TTCTCCACTGGCGGTCCACTTCCCGCCTCTACATCACATGTGAGTGGAATTGTCTCATCAGTTCAAGCTTGAATCTTGCCTTAAGTTTCACCTTCGCTGACTTTTTCTTGGAGAAGGTGTCGCACGAATTCATCCACCCAGGTCCTTCTCTTGCAAACTAAAACTCTAAGCAGATCATAAAATTAAGCTTTGTTCTGTTTTGATGCCGTGACATAGTAGGTAAGTAGGTCGCCTGAAGCCGGATTCCGACTTGTATACCAGAATCTCAGACAATCTGCCAGGACGACCCACGTGGCGTAGCATCTTTAGGTGCAGGCGTATCCCGTTCAAAAAATTTCCCCTCGAACGGTCAATTTCAGGGCGATCTGTGTAACACCATGAAGCAACCTGCAGACCTTGGAGCGAATGGCCTGGTTCTATGGAGCACCAGTAAAAACATGAAGAGTCGTTGTGAACTTATTTCAGACTACGTAAAATCGGAACTTGGACCGTGAGTGTTCCCCTCTTTACTTCGTTCTCCAGAATGACATGCAAAGGATGCAAAGGGGGGGGGGGGGCGGACGAGAAAAAGAAAAAGTGTCATCTCGCCATGGCGCACATCACCAAATGAAGCCAATATACTTGGAAGCAGGGTCAACCCTACGTTGTTACTAGTAACATTGAGTTTGTAGAAGGGGGGTCGTACCCATGGTTGAGTTTGTAGGAGGGGGGGGGTCGTACCCGTTTCAGTCGCCTGAAATCACCCCCCCCCCCAAAGAGTTTGGTGGGTTGAGTGGTATCAGAATTAAATACTATAGAGAGGATGATGGTGGTCGAGGTGTGGAAAAGGGGGTCGTATCAAATCCACCTTGGGGGAGGGGGGTCGTAAAAATTTTCAAAAAGTAACAACGATAGGGTTGACCCTGCTTGGAAGACCGACAACTGTAAAGGAGGCCCCTTTATATGATGGAAATTCGTTGCTTGAAAACTTCAACGAAAAGTGATGAAATGGGCCCCAAGGGGTGGTGAGACAGCATAGCGCTGTCTCCTCTCGGTTCATCTTTTCCTTCGAGGTTACCGGGTACAAAATTTTTAAAATTCGAAGTCTCTTCGGGTACGCAAATATTTCTTTGCTGATACTCTTCAAAAATGTGTTGGGCACAGTCTTTCCTACCCACAGGTATTGCTCCCGCTCGTGGTTGAAGGTAGGCTTTAATTGTTTACCACCACCGACTGTGCAAAATAAGGAGAGCTTTCATGACGAGAAATGCCATTGTTATATTGCCAACCCTTTATAGAATGAGTAGGGACATGCTTCGAAATTTCAGAACTCTCGTAGACATTAGGCAAAAATTGGACGAATGCAGGAGAAAAAGGTGTTACAATCGAGGAACTTGTGTGCTTCAGAAGCCAGCAAAGACGTGAGTTTCCTTCCTAGTATCAAAGATTTTTCAGCACCACCCCATAATTAGTCAATCACAACAATTTTTGGAGCAATCCTTATTGCTTCGGATTCTCGTGATTTTGAAATTTTTAGCCTATTCTTTTTTAGATGCAAATTCGATGTTGTCTTCACGGATTACATTTGTCGTTGTGATCGTGGATACAAAGGAAAGGACTGCTCTCAGGTGTACAAGAACTATCCCTTTAATATCACGTCAACCTAATAACAGTCAATTTCTCTGTAATACCGCGATTTGCTTGAAATAAGCTGGGCTCATAATGGAATAAATATTTCACTACAATGTATGGCATAGACATCCTCACATATCCATGAAAGCTGAAGTGTACGTTAGTACAACCTTCGTTATAACTTCGTATTACAAAATTATCCCTGCTATATATAAACCCGCCGCCGGCCCGATGGTCAGACTTCTTCACGAAAGCTCTGAACGAAAGGAATGAAGGACTTCGTGTCCCTCGAGCGAGGAGGGTCCACTGGACAACTCTTGCACGCGACAGGGACGAATGGAGACGTTGCTGGCGCCCGCTCGAGCAATTCGATGATCAACGGGACGACAGGTGATACAGGTGATATATAATCTAATGAAGACGAAGTTTGAACAGGGCTGGACACACAGTAACAAAACCCTCGAGGCCCATCCTTGGGGTTGTGTTTTAGCACTTGCTTCGTCAGAAATCTACCTCTGAGTTGCATGCGTTTCAAACTGTCGTGGACGACGACCCCTGCAATACTGTAACCGACTAACTCCTCTCCCTCGAGTGGCTTCTCGAGTGGGCGGAGTGCGGAGTATTTCCTAAGATAGAACACATTCTACTTCTGCGAGCGTAGGGAACGGTCCATCCTCCCACGTACTCTCAATCTCTCTCTTAGTAATAAATATTCCACTGAGCCACCGTTTTATCGTTACATAAAAGGGCCACCAAACCCAAGTCTTCCGCACCCATCCTGGTCACAAACGTTCCATCACTTCCCTGCTCTACAGGTCTATTCGATGCCGCTAGGGTTCATAATGGTAAGGTGGTAATGAGTGGGAATCGAACTACTGACTGTTGTTTCAAGGAGCTAAAATGAGAAGTTCTAGCTCTTGTGACTACACGACCTTGGCGCTTGTCGTTCCTGCGGAGCTACAATTCTAATGAGCTACTAATTATTCAACCATGATGTTTTCGGTAACAGAGACCATGTTGATGGAAATGTGTTTATCGGAACTGAAATTGTCGTATTTGAATTGTTGAGTTTTCAGTGAACTTTACTTTCTATTAGACCTTTGATAGTAACAGTTGCGAGTTGTTTCTTGTAATATAAACAATAATAATAAAATAAAACTTCGTTTTTCTTGCGTTGCCGTAAGCACAACGTTATAATTAAACAATAAACAGTAAACAATTTGGAGAGCCGAGAATTGATAATCGTGACTGAGGTACCCGACAGGAGGCCCGTCGCCCGGCAAAAGGCAGAGCCAGCGGAGTCGCGGCGTGTGCTGTAGTAATTTCACGTCATTT